CCCTTGTACTCCATGAGAAGGTCATTAAGATCACCCACTTGTTTACTTCTTGAAGGGAAAGTTCAAAACAAATGTATAAAGGCTGCTTGAGACCATTCCCTAGGACGCATATGAAAAAAAAGAGTAGCTGTTATCAGCTGAATTTAAAAATTTTTTTCTTTCTTTTCCTTTTATTTATCTCAGCAGGAACTGTTAGCTTCTTTTGTCCTTGTTTGTTCTTCCTTTGGTTTTGTATGGGGCCTAGCAAGGCTCAATTCTGACGGGAACTGTTGATGTACTACAACTTAGTTTTTTTCTAATATAAACCAACTTACAAATAATGCAATTCAAAAGACAACACAACAACCACCCGTAATTACCTTTTGATTCCAGTCTGGCATTCCCCAAAACTCTGCTCACCCTAAAGAGGCTTATAGCAGAAAACCAGCAAAGATGTCCCAGTAGATCTAAGTGTGATCCAGATACCAGAATTTCCCACTTATGTGTGATTTTGCGTGTGCGCAAAATGGGTAATGTCTACTTTTAACATCATTTCCAGTTTTCTCAGGGCTTTTGCCTATTGTTTAGGGTGATCTTGTTCCATTTTTCTAGAAACTAACATTACATTGCATTTATTCCAGGCAAAATACTAGAGTACATAGATCTATTAAAAAAAAACTTTATCTGAAAGTAATGATGTTAATATTACAGGATTGGTTAGAAATGTACAAAAAACTCCCCACTCTCATTTCATTATATTGACATCTTCCATATGATTTGCTCATACTTCTAAAACAAAGGCATACCTCATTTGCAGGAAACTAACTGTATAATTAAATCAATATAGAAGCTATTAATGTGATGCCAGTATTATTTTGACTTCTATTATTTCACAAAAGTCACATAATTTCTTTGTCCATAAATCTATTAATAGTGTCATATTTTGACTCATGGCCAGCACTGTTCCGCTCCTCGAATCTAAAAGAGCTAACAGTTTTGGATGGGAATCCAAAGAGTAAAACCAAGGCTAATTACCTTGTCAGTAAAACTGTAACATTAGTACTATCCAAATTCTATTTTTTTTAATTGAAGGAGACAAAATCAGTTGAGTCTATTTGCTATGGAAATTTAGAGCTTGTTTAAATATTTAAGCACACAGTTTAAAGGCTGAATGCCCCATGCTGTTGAATAGTTGGAAAAAAAAGAATTTGGTTTTTTTCCTCTCTTCATTTTCATGTGTTATTTGATTGGGACAGAAGAGAAGCAATCCTCATCACTGACAGCTGGTTTTGTACCACTCAATTGGGAGACCTCTCTGTGATTTGTTGGGTTCACTCTGTCTCCTCCCCAACAGCGGGAGACTTGACTTCCCTCCCCCAACACACATACACATCTTCTCAACAGCACTGCATGTACTGTCTTAAACAAATAATTTGGAATAGGCCATGAATTCTGGGACTCACTGGTGTAAAAACCAAGCAATTGCTTCAGACGTCCTTTCAGACTCACTGGAAAAAATTTAGCAGATTAACATTTGTTCCCCATTTTTGCTTCTTCAGGCTACAGACACTGAACTCCATCCCAACCACTGGCACCATTATCCCAGATACTGTATTTGATTCCTCTGCATCTGTGGTCTAACACATAGACACTATTTAGAGATTCTGCTGCTGCTGCTCCTTTAGCTTCTACTGAATGCATCCTTTTTTCCAGCTTGCATAGCCAAATGTCTTTTTAGAACTTATGCCATATTATCTTCTCTGTTCTCCTACACACACACTTTATATTTCTTCATCTGACGAACGATTGCTCCTAAATCCTACTCTGTTGCTCAGTGTTTTGATCCTACTAGCCCCTGCTGAATCTCTCCAAAAGTTTCTGATATAGTATCACATCAAACTTAAGCTTTTAATTATTATTTTCAAAATCCAGTCTCCAAATTATTCTCCCTTCCAAAATTCGTCCTGCCTCTCATGCTTCATTTATTCCACCAGTGTTCTGAAGATTCTAGATGACAGCAAAAAAACAATCATACACAGCTTCCCACATAAGCCCTTCCTAGACATGCCCTTTGAGCACCCTATGCTATTGACATTTAAGTCTTTTTTGGAGAACGACTTCTACAATGACATATACTTCTCTAGTAAGCCAGGCAGACATGTAAACACGCAGTTCATCTGCATTTGATTTCACCTCTCCGCTGCCTACTTGTTTATCCCTTGATGATGTGAATTCCTCTGAGCATGACCCTGTGTGTGTATAGCTTTGAAACGGTCAGCAATGGGCAGCTTAGTAAAGGACACTGCTGCTAATAAGACTGAGCTATGCCTCGCCCTAACTGGTGCTATATTAGCTATGAGCTGTGAGTTATCCTCATCTGAAGGTAACTTTTACATTGCTAAGTATGGGATTCCAAGGACAGCATTCACTGGGAAAACACAATGTAATTGGAAATGTTGCTAGGTGCTGGCTCCAGCCAGAAGTGCTGTTCGAGCCTTTATTCTTGACTTTCTCATCATACTCATTTTCCTCACAACGGCAGCCACAAAGCCCAGCTGATGTTAAGAACAGCAATGTTTAGCATATTAAGCCACCTTGCTGAATGAAGTTTACAGCTGCATACAGGCCAGGTCACACAGCATACTTTTAAATTAAGTCAGAGGATTGATGTGTTTATTGACCTATTGGAGCTTGCAGTTTTGTTGAAATTTTCTTTGATCTAGGTATTGTTGTTAAAACATTGAGCAGGAGAATTATTTGATCTTTATATGACTGTACCTCTAAACCAAATTAACTCCGTTACAGCACTACTATCATTATTACTAATGTTATCTTTTCATCAATAGTGCAATTTAAACTTCATTTAAAATTATGGCTTAGGAGTTCAAGGGGAGCAGCAAAGCCAATAAGGATCAGTTATTGGTGAGGCTTAATGCCTCTTGTTTCAATGTGTGAGAAGCGTCATTTAAATTTTTCAGGCCAAGTCTTGGCATTAGCTTGGGGGAACTTGGCTCTGCTCAAAGGAACAGCCTTCTGTCAATGTCAAGAACAATCCTAAAGAGTAAAAACAGTGACCACAGAGGGCTGCATTGAACCTCTGAATTAGAAACAAACAGTGAGCAAAGATTAACATTTATCTGAGCTTTCCATTTGTTTCCCCCATTGCAGACATATTAACATGTATGCCATGACTTCATGTTGCTATGTACTCTAGCAATGGAACAGAATATTAGCAGGGAAAAAAAAAGGAAATCCAAGTATATTTTAAATTGAACTCATGTCTCTGTAGAGAAATTAAAGTATCCATTTTTTGGTATAAATCTTGGAAAATCTCAGCTGCACAAGTCACTGTGAGGCTGTATGTTAACTGTTCAAAAGGTTTTGTAAATTCCATATGAAATAGTTCCTCATCTCGTAATTTCAAAGTTTAAAGCACAAAAAAAAGCACAGCTTTGGCATGTTTGGCAGAACATACAAGATGCTAGTCAGTTTTAAATAGCAAGAAGTAAGTTCTTGTACATTCATCTATGACACGGATGTTTGTGAAAAGTACCGAATTAGAGAATAAAGCTCTCCTCTCCAGAGGGCACTGGGAACACAGTGTAACTGTCTGAGCATCCCCACATAGCCTCAGCAACCCCAATTTGAATAACTGCTTCAACTAAGAAAGCAGACGGTCATTTCTCCATAGTTTACTCCCTGCTGGTGCTAGTGCTAAATGATGCACGTTTTTATTGCAGTTCTGTGGTATGGATATGCAAATACTAAACTTTATTGCCAAACACATCTCGTAAAAGTAACCCTGCTACTTGAAGATTAGTTGCTTCTGTTGTTGAAAAAAATAATGGTTATACTACTTTGTGCTTTTGAAGTAACTAAAGTAGGGGGCTTATCTTCTATTTTTTGTGAAACTGTTCCAAAATATTTCCAAATATTTTAAAAGATCACCAGTATAAAAAAATTAAAATCATTTGGCACTATCCTTTATCCTTTAAATATGAAAAAAGTAAAGACAATGGAATAAATAGTAATGTGACAGTGACAATTTGTACCTCGTTGTCATAAAATGGGAGCTTCCATGCAGAATTCTGTGAAACACTAGTTGCCCACAGAGTACTTGCAGCTGATTCTTGGAAGGCTGGCTAGTCATACACTGCTGGCTTTGGTCCTTGTTTCCAGCTGTTACATCACATGAAAGACAACTAAAAATACATTAAATACTTCTCCATACAACCAAGGCAAAAACTGCTGCAATAATGTTAGGCACTGAAGGTAGAAGTGTTGTGTGCAAACTTATGAAGAGAAGCAAAGAAAAAAAAAACAAACAATCTCTCTGCTAAAGTGTGGTCTATGATATGGTAAAAGAAAACCCTGAAAAGGTTTAATTTCACTATTTCAGCATGTTTTGAATATTCAAAACTGTATCAGATGTTCAGGGTGCCAGTCCAATTACACATTTAATCACAGATCTAACCAATATTTTCTGTTATAGTTTGGCCTATGCTTATGTATCTCATTGAAATCAAAACTCATAAGCCAAGGAAATAATGTGCTGACATCTACATCAAGTGTTCAGAATAGACAGTAACAGAGGCTTCCTAAATATTAAATGGTTTATGTGGAAATTTAATAGGCTAAAGGTGCTTCCTTATAAGGCTGGAGGATGTAATTTATTGGAAATACAAATAAAATGTGCAAACACAAATTAATAAAATGTGCAAACTCTGAGGTTGGAGGGAGCTGCAGTTTCTGGAGTTGTTTCCATGCCTACTAACAACAGTAAATTTGTACCAGATTTGCATGATATTGAAGATTCATCTCATGCTTTCTTCGTATTTCTGATTTTTATTTACACTGTGGTCTCAGTGTGACTACATATTTTGGGTTGGGGTTTTTTTGTAGCCTTACTGTTCCCTCAGCTGGGAAACTCCTACACGTCTGATAAAAGCAATTCTTACAAAGAAGTCAGCCTGCAAAATGCCTTATGCTGTGGGGTACCAGTATCACCAAGCATGCCTCACCTTAGACCAGTCTCCCATTCTCCAGACATAGCATTTAGAATAGTCCTCACAGTCCTCTGCTTCTTTAGGTCTTGTGGACAAAACACATTTCTTGCGGGGATTGGTGCACCTCACAGTCCGATGCCGTACTCCCTTACCACACTTCACAGAGCACTGTTGGAAAAAGACATTTTTCAGGTTTCTACAAAAGTCATAGTTACCCCATTTTATACCTTTCTAATGACCTCCACCAGGCTAGCATAAATCTTTCATGACATCAGTGATTTCCTGACTTCCAATCTTCAGTTGCATAGACACTGTATTTGGTAAAAACTAACAAATGAACAAAAATTCCTTATAGGGTGGAATGATAATCATTGCATTTTTAGCTAAGAATATATAATTAGATCAAAAATTACTTGCTTAAGGAAAAACTAGGCTTTTGGATAAGGAAACATCTGAAGTTATGAGGAAGTGAATGCAAGATGTTATACTGAAAATATTAGGCAATCTTTGTTTTATGACTGAAAGGAAATATAATGAAAGATAATCTAAATAATGTACATAAGAATAAGATATGAAGCAACTGCAGAAAAACTTTGCTAGTATCTAATAGACCTTTTTTGGGAGGGGAAAAAAGTTAAAATGGAAAAGTAACTATTCTAAAACTATGCAAGAATCCAGATTGAATTTGAAAATTCAGTCACTCCATATACAGCATGTGAAAGCCCTCTTCAAGTTGCACAGAAGGTCTTAATCTATGTTTTTTTCCACCATTCCCACTTACACTGCCAAAAATTATGCCATTTCCTTCTCAAAACATTGTCACTGCTTTTGATCATCCCACTGCTTGCAGATCAAAACTCTCCTTTGCCAAGCTGATTATAACTGCAGGAAGGAGTAATGGCTAGCTTCAACTATAATGGTGATAGTAGGAATGGCCATGGGGAACACCTCACTCTTCAAAATATATTTACCGCATCCAACTAAAACATGCTCACTTATTTCTCATCTCTCAAGTAAAACCAACTAAACAATCTGGGCTTCTTTCTCACACCTCTGTAAGTTAATACGATTCTTCTCACAACCAGCCCTTGTGTTATAAACCACTGTGTACGAAACCGGGAACTGCTGCTATTTACTTCTCTTATCTCTACCTTAGCATCTGCTTTTCATCTTTGAAAACATTCCCTACATCTTAGCTCTTTCTTGCTTGGGGATCAAGGGGTGCTGCTGAGCAGAGGAGCCCAGAGAAGGAGCTGCACCCACATTCAGAAGCTGCTATTTGTGTTTTGAACCTGGAGGGACCCATACCACAGCTTCTGGTATGGGAGGCAATCAGAATTGCCTTTGCTCTTCCAATGGAGGGAGAAGCTCCAAATAACCTCTTCAGCTTGTCCAGATGGCAGTGATAATACCTTTCTTCCTCCACGGTGAATTACGTTTAGAAGTAGCATAGCTTTGTAGAAGAGGAAGAAAGCCAAATGGACATGCACATTAAAAGATCTTAAATTAATAAAGCTTTTTGAATAATAATTACATTCTAGAGCAATGCTTCAGGATGCAACATATGCGAAATTGTGTTATTTACAAGCCCTTTTGCCCACTGATTGTGCTGTTCTTGGAAAAAGAGGTGAGAAGAGAGAGGAAGGGAAGGATATGACCTTCTTCACAAGCAGGTCCCCTCATAGCCTCTCTGAAGCAGAATGGCAGCAACCATCTGCTGATAACACCCCTTGGTACAAAAGTATGTCAGAGATGTTCCCACTCTGAACCCAAGGTCTGGTAGCTGATAAATGATGGTCTTAATTCCATTTACCCCTAGTTACTCGCTACTACAGTCAGGCAATACTTGATTATATGGGCTTGAACACTGGCCAAAAGAAACTGTTCCAGGACATAAACTAGGTAAAATGCAGTCGTTCTACACGGCTGTTTTTCCTAGTCCTTGATCCTTTTGCCAAATCATTGCATGAGGACCATGAAAATCATTAGGCTGAGCTGTACCTCTTGCTGCTGAAAAAATAATATTCCCAGAAGACAGTAAGGCATAAATAACCACTATAGACTATTTGTATAAATAAATGCAGCACCTCAGACCAGACTCCCGCCTCCCACACAGTCATGCAGTCCTGGCCTTCACAGCGCTGTGCAGAAGCAGGCTTTGGCCCAATGCAATCCCTCTCCCTAGCTCTGATCAGGGTCCCATTTCTGAGCTGCTGTGTGCAGGCTACTTGTCTGTTCTGGGTCCCTTTTCCACATGTCCTTGAACATGGAGTCCATTCTGTCATCATCCATCTGGAAAGAAATACAGGCAATGCAGTAACAAGAAATTAGGAAGAGAAAAGTACCATCACATCATCTTACTCTCTTGCTTACTAGTACACACCCCCAAGACATACTTGCATATTTTCTGCCTCCTTTTAACATCTCTTTGCTAATGGACTACTTATTAATTTAACATATTTTAGATTAAATAAGGTGTTAACGTTCATGTTATTTCATTCCCCAGCCCAGTGTCCATATGTTTTCAGAGTACTCTCCTCTCATTATAATTCCAGTTAGAAAAGCTCCAAAATACACATACATTTAGAAGCTGACAGACCACTGATCAGCCTGTATGTTGTTCTCTAGCTATATGACTATCTATATGTCAAGTGCATGTCATGCACGTAAAGTTCAGCATTCTTTGGAAATAGTCAGTTGCAAGAAAGAAGCACTCCTGTGTGAAAGGGTCATTGCTCTGGTGGAAGTAGAAAAGCTCAGACTTCTTCATGTTCTTCAGGGTCAGGCCTAACTCAGGTTGCGTGGTTTAAATCACAGCAGCAAGGAAGGCTGATGCAGCTTGGCAGAGCGCACATACCTGGAGCGCAATCGTTCCAGAATGTAATTTTCCCCAAATGTTCTGTAGCTCCAGACTATAGCCATGTGCCCTTAAAAATCAAACAACTCTGCCACTGGTGCAGTACACAAGTGTATCCCAGGAGACTCAGATTGCCAGGGAGAGTTTTTAGGAAACCAGGATTTAACAAATCTGTTCCAACCTTCTGTCACACATTTGTTGTAAGAAAATAAAACATTTAACTAATGTTTTTTTATTATCAGTCCAGAGACTCAATTTACAGACCACAGCCTGTCAAGATAATGGAACAGAGTTTAAGGTACTTCTTCAAGTGCCAATAAAAAACAACTAGTTATGCAAGCGTATGCTGTAGTTACATTTCTGTTGAAAGCTAACAGTATTTGATTTGTAGTAATCACTAACACTGTATTAAAAACTGGTTACATGTTTAAGGATCATGATATCTTTCTACATGTCTCAGCACAGCATCTCTGAGTGGCAATTAACAACACTTAAAATGTTTCATTTAATAAGCTGAAAATGTACACAATCTTGAAAATTTATAGTTGACAATGCCTCAGAAGAAGATCAGACTCTTCTATTTCTATCCATTAAGTGCACAGTGATGTTAATAAAATAAAATAAAAGATCTGCTCAAGTATGTATATAATGAAATACAAATAATCTCTCCAAAGTGTAATGCCCTAGTCTAGGGAAGTCCAAACCTCAGTGGTTTGGTCTTACTTAAAACATATCATACCTTGCATTTTATCAATTTCAGTATTTCATCCTTTCCAAGAAAGCTATGTCTTCTGGTTAATTTTACATACTTTCTTCAATGACATTTGCATTTTATTTACTTTGCATTGTTTTCTTTAAAAATACTATTTACCTCTCCTCCAGACGACTGCAGTAGACCTATCCCAGTGCTTCCTCCTGGGGACGCTAGCCAACTATTGCTAGCTGCCCCCCCCTCCCTTGAAAGGTGGCAGATACTTTAACCAAGTCCACACAGCAGTTGGGGACTTCCTTAGTCATAATTCTTAGGTGCCACATGGAAACAGGATGGCAAACTCTGAAGTGGGTCACTGTGCCAGCCTGGCCAGCCAGTGCAAGGAGCAGGCTGCCAGCTCGGCTGCAGGGACACCAAATGGCGTGGGCTTTGCAGGGCACAGGCTGCATACTGCAGCTGCCTCCTAGGGTGAAATTTGGTGAAAAAAGGCTCTTCCAGCTTCTTCCACCATTCCACCACCAGAGCCTAGTTCTGCCTATTGATCTACATACAAAGGGATGGGGGGAGAGGGAAGAGAGAAGTGAGGGGAAGGCTCTCTATACTTCAAGTTGCATCAATGTAGAAAATCTGACTAACAAAGGTTAAGTTATTTATTTACTAGTCAGTGCACCCAGAGCTTACTGAGAGCTTTTAAAGGAGTGAACAAAACACTAAAATATATCATTAATTAAAAGCATGGGATTAAATCCATCTTTATAGAAACAGAATTGAAATTTCAGTTTCATAGTACAATTCAGCCTGTGAGAACACTTCCTGAGGAAAGTAATGAGCTGCTTAATCGAATGGTGGTTTTTACGCATGGTGTTTAAGGGCTCTCTTTCATTAAAACTCAGGAGAAACAACAGCCAGCGTTCTTGTTTTCCTTACATTTTCCATTATAACCTTTTGGATATATGTATGTACTGCACATTCATTGCCAGAGGCAGTCATCTCTTAGCTCCTAAGATTTTAACATCAGTTTAACTAAATCACTATTACCTGGTCTGGCATGGCTGCTCATTGCACTTGCGGATCTGTGGTTCAGGTTTTGTTAAATACTTGCACTTCTTGTTGTCCACAAGACTGATATTCTTGTTCATAATCTTTGTGCAAGAGACTGTCGTCTTTCTTTCACCTAGTAAAAAATAAAGCAGATATGTGGGGAAACCAGGAACTTTGTTCAAAAGGGAAGCACAAAGGTATCTTCATTGGATCCAGCTATTTCATGTACAGTTTGGCTAAAAGAGCTGTAAAATCTGTACAAGCAAATCAAAGCTAGCAAGAAGCCTAAGAGAGGTGTTAAAGTTTGTAGGGTAGAAAACAATGTGATTTTCTAATCCAATCTTTGTACATCCCTGTCAACAGAGTTTTGCGGCTTTATTCCTGTAACTAGTCATACGTCAAACCCTTAGTCTTACTGGAATAGCTGTTTCTTTCACAACCACTGAGACCCTGGCATTGAGAAAAGCTTGCAGAAAAATTATATACAAAAATATGGTTGTTAATTAATACATAAAATAAGGAAAAGAATGACAAGTCCTGCTTCTCTGTCTTGCTCAGTCTGAGTACTTCTGCCTGGTTTAGCAGTATGCTGGCAGGTGTGGCCAGCACTCAGCTAAAGGGAATCGGCGCACACAGCCTTCAACAAGGACCCTGCACTACTCCCCATGAACTAAAGAGGCTGTGTCACTGACCTCATCTGTAGGGCAGTCATCTAGGAAGTTGGGTACTGCCTGCAGAGACCTAGGTCATGTTCTGTACGGAAACTTTGCCCTGACGGGTGGGTTGGAACCTGGTGTTTCTCAAAGCTGGATGCGTTAGCAGAAACTTGTAATTAGACTGGAGGCCAGTTCTTAGAAAACTACCAATCCTTGAATTAAAGATTTCAATCAGTAGAAAATAAGTTCAAAACGAGTTGTTTCTATGGTTACGCTTTAATACTCTGTTTCTGCCTGGAAGTTTACTGACAAGGTGCGTGCAGTAGTGAGGCAGACTTAGGCATGCAATGTTCAGCAGTGGTCAGAAATGTGCCTGTGGATGGAGCAGTTAAGTTATAAATGTGCATTATGTGTGTGACCACAGCTGACGTTCTACATGGCGCTTGTGTACGTGAGAGCACATGCAACTAATCTATCATATACAGCACTTGAAATGTTTGACAATTCTTTCAGCATTTACATATACATCTGTGTATTCATATTCTCTCCCACATGAAGAAGGCTCTTCTGCAACACAGTAGGTCGCAGACCAGTTACACACATAAACATGCATGAAACCACATGGCTTCATCAATAGTTTCATCCTGACATGCACTTTCAGCATTTAAGCAAAACCACCGATAATTGTTACATTCTTCAATCAGATTCACCAAAATATTGATGTTAAAAATTGAAACACAAATATTTATACAGGATACAAGCTGCAGCATTTTAATTTCATTTATTTAATTTCATGTATTTAAGCCAAGAACTGAGAGAACAGTTCAAATGGTTTTGCCTAAAGTAAGAAAAATATTTCACTTCTATTTCAGAATATTTGCAGTAAAAATACCTTTTATGGAACTTTGTATTAACTCAGCTATTTTAGACAATAACATAAACTGAAGGCCAGTTACAACAGAAAAAATATGACACATAAACATTACAGTAAAACACTTAAATATTTATTTAAGCATTAATGTAGAATAAATTACTGACATGCTGCATTTTAAGACTTCTCCAGATGACAGGTAACTTTAGAAATATTTGGGCAATAATGAGAGATTGTGGTAGCATTAAAATTGTTCTAAAAATACTTCAGGAAACTGTAAAAAGCATGAATATTCCAAGTGAATAGGAATGCACTACTAAGAAACAGAGGATGCTACTAACACCACGTACAAAATACCTTCAGGGAAGAAGCTTTCTTACCAAACCACAAAAAGCATGTTTATGGAAACTACGGTAATCTGTCATGACACCAAGATTGTTCACAGAGTCACATGAGCTAGAACACTGTGTTCCTTATGCTGCTGTTATGAGAAAGTAAAGCGTTTCCAGGCCTTCTTATTCAATCACAAGGTGCATAGCAGTTTTCAGAACTGCTGATCAGGGAAACCATGACTGTCAAGGTCATAAGCAGGAAAGATAGGTATCAAAAACCAATATAGCATTCACAGCCTAAGTCTGACTAGTTGCACAACGTATGAACAGATCTCTGCAGGTTGCATTCAGTAAAAAAACTCTGAGGTGTTTTTTTCAGCATAATTACCTAGCTCAATAACCATCTTTTAAACAGCAGTTTTAAAGGATTTTGTTACAGCAGTACTGTTCATGTTCCAGTATTTGTTTTCATAATCATATTTTGTTCTTCCAAATTAACATTTTTTATGGTTTATAAACATAAACATAGGAAAAATATCACATCAGCACATTAGTATCTGCTGTTGTAGTATTTGTTCCATATGTCTCTGGATCATCCTCAACTCATGTTACTAACTGTACATATTTGATCTGAGACTGAGTTTCAGCTTTTTTGTAGTTTGAAATGTCTTTTACAGATCATTTATCTTCAATAGTTCCAAATACAAAGTGGAATGCATATGAATCTTCTATTCTTGCTCTAGCTCTTGCACTTGTATTTCTTCTTGGAAACTGTGTCCTGAATTTGCTTTGCTAATCTAGATTTTGGTCTTTCAATACCAACTTCTTCTACTTACTTATGTAGTTTGAATCTTTTCCTAGAGTCATCACTGTTGTTTTAGTAGAATCAGGAAGCATGAGACTCAAGTATGTCCACCATTATATGGAATCATACAAGCCGCAATGAGGATATTACTATTAAATCTATAACACTGACCATTGCAATCTTAAATACTAACACATCATGTATTTTAACTGAGACATATATATATACACACAGTCTATATACATGTATAAGCATATTACATACACACACATAGATGTATTTGGTATATATGTGCATATTGTATATACATATACATTTTTAATTTATGTATGTGTGTGTGTGTTTGTATATTTTTCTTTTATTTTACCTCCTCCACATACAGCATCACAGTCCTCCCAGCCAGAATGAGTCCACATGAAAAGAGGCTCCGGTACTTTAGAGCTCTGATTCTCAGGAAGAGGATCCAGTGGGATTGTGTACTCATAGTGTAGACCATAGCTCTGGTCATGGAAGAGCAGCACCTGCCAGATACACAGAAGGAAAACCTACCTATGTATACAGACACTGTGGAAGACAAACTCCAGACTGTGAGGAGATAATCTGGAAAAGCATGACAGAATGACTTAATGCTCTATAGCCTTTCAATGCTCCTGATGGATTTTGTAGAAGAAATTAATGAGAGTATCCCAATCAAGACAATGGGAAAAATTATTTTACTTTACATTAAGTAAGGTCGAAAAGCCCTGCATGTGAAATAAGCTAACAAAATTCACCAGAAATCTGGAGAATGATTATATCCTGTGACTTCAGTGCTCTTAAATAGAGGAGGTCTCTCCTAGATGCATCAGATTTAAAAGCATTTTAGATATACCAGACAATTTCTTGCATTAGAAGGATTTTGAATTGGAAGTACTTCCTCATCATCTCTCCCTCCTTCTTTCTGGCAGCTATCAACTTTTCCTCCCCTTCACTGAAATGCATCAAAATTCTACTTCTTCATGGAGAACCTGGTGACTGCAGTCCTGAAATGGTGATGCTGTGCTATAGTCATCCAGGACAAAAAACATCTGGCATAAATTTGAATCTCTCTTCTTAAGTGGCACATCAGCTTTTTATTACATTTGTAGGAATGCTGAGACCTTCCATCCTGCCTCAACAACATAAAGATTATTCTCAGATTTAAATGCATTTTTTAGAAGTGGTCTGACAGATCTATAGGTAAGATCTATAGGTAGATCTATAAGCAGGTGTGTATATATATAAAAAAAGCTTGCATCTCATTATCTTCAGGAGCCTGGAAAAAGATATTAGTTGCCATGCTATATAATAGGAATCAAGTAAAAAAACCCAATCCGTTCTGTCATACCAGTAAATGTAAAGGTGATGTTGTGGGACCTTTGGCTGATATTTTCTCCCAGAGACCTCTCCGAACATAATGGACAGTGGTTCCAGCAATATTGAAGGCTCCTGAATGCTCTATCTTCCAGTCACTATTGATTGACTGTTTTCCAGCATCTCGAAGAGCTGCAAAATATATGAAAAATGACCAATATAAAAGCTGTTTGTTCAGTAGTGATTTGGGCCTCTTTTCACTTCCTGTTTAGAAAATTTAATAAGTAGGTGAAATCACCTAACTCTGTTTGCAAATATATTTATGGATCCTACTATACATGAACTGCAATTGGAACATACTTCAGAAACACCTTCTGGAAGGAATGCTTGGCAAAACCATGTGTATTTAACATTACTTGACGTTAACATCAGTGTTTTAATGCCTGAAGAGACTGACAGGCTCCAGAATAATTCATAATTTGGTCACTGAATTAATTGAAAGCAAAGGCAATCATTCTCTGTTCCCAGGGTGGTCATTTCTGTAATCCATAAAGGCATGGGAAACAAAATTTTCACAAGACACTCTTCAAGATTTGTGGAATTAGTCTAAAACTTCAAAAAAATTATAGTTTTGAATACTTTCCTCTCTAATAACTACATTTGCCTGTTTCTCCACCTTAGAATGTGACAATAGTACTGTCATCCTACCTAAACACTTATTTTATATACTTCCACCACATAATTTGATGCTTCTAACAAACAGAAAAAGCTTGTTCTTTTTGGTTGAATCATTCTTTTTGTTGGTCTAATTTATATTCAAAAGCATCATCAAGTCAGGTAAGATATATTTCATACACTGAGAACACAAGTTTTTACATTAGTTTGCTATAGTAAACTGAACAGATTCTTCTGTGAAGGACTTGTAATTTTATTTTATTTTATTTTATTTTGTTCAGATCAGGTCTGAATAATCACATGAAGTAGAATATACTTGAAGTCACCTTCTGGACAAGAAGTTTTACACATTCCTCTTCACTGAAATTGCATGTTTGGCACCAGACTGTTGTAAGAGAGCCTCAACAGTTTAAGCCTTGTCCAAAATTTCTTTTTTAAAGTTGTAAGCTAATGTGAGTCACTCCTGTAATCATCTTCTCTCCTATTCATATTTATACTGTTATGTTTTGTTTCTATGGGAAACAATGGCAACCGGTCTATGGACTGGCAGAAATACAACTGTGTAAGACACCACTGATATGTACCACTGCAGCACTGTGTAATGAATGTTAAGACTATAAAATCCACTATAAAATCCATTAACACTGCAGAACAGCTCTGTACTAAAAATAACAAGTGATTTTACAAGATTTTAAAACTGGTATCTGAGGTTTAAACATTCTGTTATTGGTGGTAATTAAGCTCTATTTAGTGTTTAAACTGTAGGGTTTAGTCCTCTGCCCAGTGGAGAAACAAAACAAATGTACTTGAAAGTGCTGAGGTCCAGTTGGGTCATGTTGCTCAGATGGAGCAGCATCCTGTCCCTGGAGAGCAGCGGACTTTGCATCGTTTTGTCTTGTCTTTAAAATGAACATGTGTGCCACAGCATGCAGACGTGTGCAAGGGACTGGAATCTCAGCCCCAGAACACAGAAATATGCCAGATCTTGCATTTTCTGCTTTCAGATTTTTCACTTGAGCCACCGGGGTTAGACGAAGTAAGAAAGCGTATCCTCAAGCTTTAAATTTAGGCTTGGATTCAGGCAGTCCAGCTTCTGTCACACCCCATAATGACAGCAAGTTCACTGAGTTTTATTTCACACCACATACGTATTCCCACTCTGCTTAGCTTTTCATAGAGGAGGATTTCCTGTACAAAGTAATGCAACACAGGAAGAAAATTCAGCACACAAGTGTATCCTCTCTCAGGCTATAAAACAAATTGAGCAATACATCTGCAACTGAAAAGACAAATAAAGAAAATGGACTGGGAAAACCTACTGCATCTGTAACCAAGACCAAAATTTCAGTGCTAAAACAAGCGAGCTACCTACAAGTGTATCTCTGCAGAGCATAAAATAGCCATCATCACAATGACAATTAAGTGATAGTGATGAATGCAATGCATTTTTTAATCACTGTACCAGGGATATACACTCTTGCAATTTTAATGAGGTGCAAGAGGTTACACACCCATAGAGATGCAACATTTCACAGTTCAGCTATTGCATCTCCCAGCGCTCAGTGGGGAGCAACAATGCCCTGGTCCTGGTCCTCTGCTCGGTAAATTTGTGCCTACTAATCCTTTTATTGTTTTCTATGGAAAACAGTAAAATACCACACCACTGTATTTAAACTTTGAGATTTTTGCTTAAGTTGAAATTACCACACTTTACAAAGTGGTTAAGAAAAAAGACATTTGCACCAAAAGTAAGAGGGAAGTTGACATATTTGTGAAGTGTGAATTTTGCCTTTTGCACAGTGCAAAATTTAGTCCTACTCTCCAGAAAAGTACCAAAACAATGTCATTTTGACTGACCCTTATTTTTCTCAAGAAAATACAAAAAAAATCTGAAATTCCATTCTAAATGAGAGTACATTCACTGATATGTCTTGTCAAGGAAGTAATTGTTTCACTTCCATTCAGGTTATCATGTGTTGCCTTGAAGCCATCTTAAGAACATTAACAATTGAGATTTGAGTAACTTTTTGAAAATTTCAACTGAGGTAAGGCTGACTGGTTGGTAGTTCCCAGGGTCGTCCTTATTAGTCTTTTTAAAGATGGTGCAATATTCCCTTTTATTCAGTTACTGGGGACTCCACCTGACTGCCATGACTTTTCAAACATGCTTGATAATGGCTTGGCAACTACATCACCCATTTCCCGCAGGACCCTGGGATGCATCTCATCAAATCCTATGGATTTATGTACGTTCAGGTTTCTCAGTGGTCTCGAACCTGGTCTATGATGGGAGGGACTTCATTCCGCTAGTCCTTGCCTTGACGTTCAGGGACTTGAGAGATGTGAGAAGAGTGTTTACCACTTACCAAACTGAGGAAAAAAACTGTTGAGTACCTCATCATTCTCCATGTTTGATGTCATTATCTCTCCTGTCGTATTTATCAGGGTGTATGTTTGTACATTTTCTTTCATCTTCCTTTTCTGACTAACACATCTGTAGAACCCTTACTATACTTCACATTCCTTGCCAAATTCAGCTCCAGCTGTGCCCGAGCTTTCCTGATCTCACCCCTACACATCTGAGCAACATCCCTATTTTTTTCCTGGGATATATGTCCCTGCTTCCACTGCCTTAATATTTTCTTGTACATTTTAGTTTGAACAGCAGGTCCTTACTCAGCTATGCTGGTCTCCTGCCCTCCTTGCCTGATTTATTACATGTGGGTATTGAGAGCTCTTCCAATCTACGAAAGACATCCTTAAAGAGCTGCCAGTTCTCTTCTGCTCCTTTATCCCTGAAGGCAGTTTCCCAGGGGATCCCATCCACTAATTCCTTAAACAGCTGAAAGTTTGCTCTCCTAACATTCAGAGTCCTGGCTTTAGTCTTCACCTGGCCCATACCCCTCAACATTGTGAGTTGCACCAGGGCATGATCACAGCAGCCTGGGCTACCACCAATCGTGACCTCTCTAATTAGTTCATCTGTACTGGTAAGCAACAAACAAGGTCCAGTAACGCTGCTTCTCTGTCTGTCACCTGGATTAAGAAATTATCCACAATGCACTCCAAGAGTCTCCTGGACTGTCTACAGCTTGCTGTGCTGTTTTTCCAGCAGATGGCATGTGATTGAAGTCCCCAAGCAGGAGCAGAGCCTGCAAGAGTGATGCTTTCTGTAGTTGAAGTAAGAACGCTTCAGCAACAGGCTCCCCTTGGTCAGGCAGTCTGTACTAAACACCAACCACGAGGTTTCCTTTGTTGGTTTGGCCCCTAATTTTTACCCATAAGCTCTCAACCTATTCACTACTGTTTCTTAAAGACAATTCTGTGAATTCATTTGATTTTTTTATAGAGATGGCACTTGTTTCATCTTGATGTAAAACAGTTTCAAGAGATGTTACTTATTAACCAGCTTCTATGGCCCTCTGTAAACAAAAGGATAACGTGTTCAGTCTCAGCAGACTCTGGTGTCTGTTACGGGACCAGGTCCTCAGCTGGCTTCCCTTGAAATCAGAAATTACCCAGTGTAAGGATTTGCTCCAAAGTATTTTAAAACTATTAGCACTGTCAGAAATAAGAGATTTAAAATTCTGTATTATTTGTCAGACCCCATCTGCTGTCCCACACTCTCCTCACCCATAATGTGGTGCAGCACGGAAACACATCTCATAAAGGAAATCAAACAGAACACAACACATCTATGGACTTGATACCTATAAGAGAAATGGCAGTTACAACGTCATGGCAGCGTTAAACTACAGGTCCAAAGGGTCTGTATCCTTGAAGCAGCTTGATCACGTTTGAGAATACTGATACATCTAATCCACTTCTTTAGATCAGCTGAAAACAAATAATTTTTCTCATTTCTAATTAGCACTGAAGTTTCAGGTTTTAGACTGCAAGTCATTTGTATAGTTATATAGCAGTAACCAATTTTACTAATTCATTATGTGGCCTGGACATGTCATGCCATTACAGAAGTTTCACATGAATGAGCTCTCTAATCTCACAGCCCTTTCTTTCATCACAAGAGCACATGTAGCTAGCACTCTTCAGCGCTAACCAAGCCAGGACATGAACACTAAAACATATGACATGTACCTAAATAACTGTGAGCTGGTTTTTCCTCCACAACTTTGATTCTTCTTGCTCCTGCAGGTATCACCAAAGCTTCCACATAACCTAGACATGAGACCAGACATCCAAAGTTAAATACAAAACTGTAGAAAAGTACATCTTTTATGTTTTTCCATTTCTTCTCCCCTGTTTCACTTGTTAAATGTAAGAAGATATAATTCATATAGCAATGGTTTGAGGGTTCTTGCAAAATGTTGAAACAAGCTACAAAACTGTGCATTATTTGTAATACATATAACATGACATACAATTAAGAGAGTGTAACAAAGTAAAACACAACAAGGACTAGTGAGGTTGGGCAGGTTGGGGCTGGAGCAGATAAAGTTGTCTCTGGCCAAGTAGTTTAGTGTCATTATCACCACTAGATGACCATAAAAGAATTCCAAATTCACTCAGCATGTAGACACAAATGATACGGCACTAAAACCCAAACATCCTCCCACTGTTTGGTTTTTAGTTTGGTTTTGGTTTGTTTTTTTTTTTTGTATATATTTTATGCTCCATCTCCCTCTTCTTCCTTTAACACATTCAAACTCTGTTATGAAGGGCTTTGGTTCTGAAGTCTACTTATTAGTTATGAAGGGCTTTGGTTCTGAAGTCTACTTATTAGTTATTTGATTTACATTACAATTGCTTCCTTAGAGTGTGGGACGAAGACAGGCTGTTGAGCAATTTTCAAGTAAAATGGGCTGAAAAGGGAATGCAGCTGAAAACCACTGTGCAATCAGGAATGTTATAAACAAATAAATCATATTTCAGATTATCCATGTGAACTTCAAAAAATGGTCAGTAAACCAAGTATTTATTCTGTGTAGCTATGTAATGTTCCATAACGAAATACTGAGCATTTACACACCTTTTCTACATCTGAAATAAATATGAAAATTGAATTGCTGCAAAGCAGCATTATTTATCTTTAATTTCCTTAAGAGCTCCTAACACTTTATAAGTATTGCTGATAGTCCAGCTTCTTGAGAAGAAAAACAACTTATGCAATTGTTTAGAGGGCAATACCACAATATTGTGGATTGACACAGAACACTGAATAAATTTGAAAATGTCTGGTTGTTCACATTAGCTATAAAAGAGAGCTGACACATTTTAATTTCTATTAGCAGCTACCTACTTTGTAGTTTTTGACCTTGTAGTCTTCCAGACTCACTCGTGGTTTGGGATCCCTGCTCTGCATTAGTTTCAACTTAAGAGAGGACCAGACATACACATCTCAAGACTATGCCTAACTTTTGTGTTTTTTAAAGTACTGTGCTTCAGTCTATAATGCATTGAAGTCCTTGATTTTTCAAAGATGTACTGTCTGCTTCTAATAGCAGTAATATTTGATGTGATTTACCTACTGTCTAGAAATTCTGCACATTTTCTACTCAAGAAACTGAAAGTGTAATGGCAAACAAATGCTAAAACAGTTGGCCAGACGCTCTTTGAAAGAAAAGACTTTTCTTGGAGAGGATGTATACATAGTGCATGGCGCACATTATTAGGATTTCAACCCTCTACTCTGTCAACATTACTGTCCTGGAGCTAGTCAATTATTCTCATTGAAAGAACAGATCACAGCAGTGTTTGAAAATACCATGTTCATTCTGCATCAGAAAATCTATTTGCTTTTTGTGATATGTTATTATTAGTATAAAACTACGAATAATGAACAGATGAAAGACTTCTTCACACATTGAGCTGTATGTTCTCAGTGCCTGGCTTGGTTTAATGACCTTACTCTAGGTTACATCATAATTTGGATTTTTATTCTGAAGAATATTAAATGTATCTAAACACTGTATGAATTTACAGTTCATTTATTTACTAAAAATATAAATTTTATTTCACAGATTTTGAAAAGCTCAGGCTCTTCTGCATAATAATGTGTGTCTTAATGGAAGATAAATTAGATAATTCCTTTATCTCATAACTGAAACAATTTGCAATAATACTGCAACCATTAAATTTAAAATTACTCATGCATTCTTATCTTAAATGTCTTATCATTCTAAAAAAGCAGATTGGAAATAAAAAAAAAAAGTTCTTATGAGGAACTGCACAATTTTAAGTACAGCTTTTTAAAGCTCCCAATGCTCAAAGCATTATCAAGCAGCTACTGGTTTCCTGAATATTTGAAGTAAACAGACTTACCAGCTCCTCTGGTATGGTTAAAATCACCTTTAATAACTTTGCATGACTTTCCATCACCATTGCATACACCACAATGATCTTCACGAGCCAGAGATCCTAATACACCATCACAGCCAAATTTCTGTGGGAGAAGAAAATAAAGGTATTGAGACACAGGCCATGTTTTTCATAAAGTTGCCTTTAGTAGTGTGCGTCTCACCCTTTTGCAAGATGCTCTAACCAACCTATCCAACACGACCTAGCCCTGCTTAGAATGAGGGCTGCACTAGTTTGTGCACAGAGATCTCTTCCACAGTAATTTCTTCTGTGATTTTCTGTAGATTGTTTTATTGACTCTCCAAGAGGAACACAACTGCATTCCCACTTTCCCCTGGGACTTTTGGCACTTCTGAGCCACTGTGCAGCACACACCCCGCAGGGCCTCCTGCTCAGCAACTGCAATGTGTGCAACTCTACTGCTTTCTACTCAAAATATGGGAGGTTATTTGACACACCCACACTGCTAAAGTGCTATCTAACATCAACTTAATGTCTTCTTCTGAATAGGATGTGAACATGTCTGGAATATGTAAATATAAATTGTATTTGTGTTTTGCTAAGAAGCACTCAGTTTAAAACAAATTAAGTTTACTCAAGCACCTACACATAAGTATGTTGGACGTATTTCAATCAATAAATATCAGTGGTAGCTTGACAATAGGAATACAGTTAATATCATATCCTGGCCTGATACAAAATAAAAGCCTTTTAAAGTCTAGAGAAGACATCACAGGGTAATCTTGTGCACTGTATAAATGCATCTGATAAAACCAATCAGACTTGAAGACTTTTTGATAAATACTGAAGGTAAAAGCTAGGTTAAAGAGAAAATATAGGATTCTTCTAAAAACAGAAACCTCAGTCTATCACAGAGCCACTCATTTCCAAGCACATTAAGATTGTTACTTCACTTTATGCACAGCATTTTTATTAAGAGTTCTTCGACCTAAAAAAGCAATACAGATTACAAAATACTGATCACAGCATAAGCATTCAGAGAGCTGTGTATCCAAAATGACACATCTATAAGATATAAATACTTTACTCCACAGTTGCAGTTCCCAAAGTTCTTCCTAATGGGTTGTCTAAGAAGACAGGGTAAAATGTGGCAGACCTTAAAAATTAGACTTTCAAATCTGAGTAGCACCTATCTCTCTGCCCCTTGATACGCCAAGAAGCTAACACAGTCTAAGTCAGGTGGATTTGGTTTAAGGCTTTTTTTTGGTCTTTATTAGTCAGTTCAGAAAAATGAATGACAAAATAAATAACACATTTTTCATTAAAAACGGGCTATATATCATCTTTGTGATTAAACCTGTAATTGTTACACAGTGAACTACAGCCACAATTCAGCAAAGTATTTAAGAGTATTCTTGTGCACACACTGTCACTTGAGAAAAGACAATTATACGTACATATATGTATTTGTATGCATGTGTACATGCATGCATGCGTCTATAAGTTAATTTGTTGAAGTTATTACAGTATCTCTCAATGCCGTTTTGGTTGAGTTTTCTACCAAACTCAATGTGTACAATGAGAAGTGGACAAAGAAAAAAAACAGCCCTGTGGGATTTTTATGTAGAAGAGCTTCCATATGAGGCACTATAAAAGTGACAAAAGAACCATTATGAACCAAATGAATTCTGAGGATCGGGAATAGCATCAGCACTCAGCTTTCATTGTCTGTTATTCTGCTCCTTTGGTCTTCATTTATTTAGACGTAAACTTTTGTACAGTTGAAAAAGGCAGAATTAGACATACATACATACACCCCATGGCAAAATTTCCCAACCTGTTGAAAGCTGAGGCCTCTCTTAGAAGATGAAATCAGTTATACTTATTTTCCACTCTGCAGCAGTTTATTATAAGCATCCTTATCATCACAGATATACATTCCCCAAGCTAACCCTTCAGCTTCTTCACATACTGTCTTGCACTGAGTGAAATTCGATTAAAATATTTTAATACTACACAAAAAGACCCACTCAGTCTTGGTCACGCATATTGCAGCATGCTATCAGATAAATAACACATATGCATAACAAATGTCTGCACTTGCATACGTGTGCCTGTGTATCCAGGTTCGAAATAAGTAAATCATACCTGGCATCTACCATCTGCACAGACATCTAACCCATGCTGGCCACAAGACGTCCCATCCATCACCTTTTCTGTTAGAAGAACGGGTTGATCCTTTCCAGCTGGTGAACAGAATAAGGCACACGGCTTTTCTGTAGTAGCAAGTGAAGGAAAAAACACCAGATTGGTAAAAGGTCACTTGACAAACACAAAATTATTATCAACATTATTTTTAAAACTGATGTTTGCTTAGCTGTGTGGCAAGAATCTGTTATCATAACAAGTTCTCTTAGATACAGTGAAAACAAAAAGACTTTGATCCTTTTCTCATCCATTTGAAAAACTCAAGTTCTTTTTCCTGCTAGACCATAGTGGTGCTATAAACTTGGCCTACATAGTACTCATGTCATGTTCATTGTTGCAATTAAGAATATGCACATTACAGCTGTTGGAATATTTTGGTTGTAATCTATACTTTCATTCTTCTGTATTTTTGGCAGATCATAAATATTGATTAAAAAAGAAACTTAACAATTTCCAGATTTTCTAACTATACACGTTGAAGAGAAAAGGCTTAAGTAACTGAGACATCCTGGGAAGAAAACTATATGGATTTACAAAGTCCACATCAAAAAACAAAGACACAAAACTGAATACGTTCTTCCTAACATCTTTACTAAGGTCAGGCATTTTTCCACTACACTTCTAAAACATTGTGCAAATCATTTCTAATTTTGAAAGAGAATAAAAAAGTAATAATATCCTATGTATCCATGTATTCCTAATGGTTATGATTTATAACTAATGGTTTGCTTCACCCCTGCCAAGGTAATACCAAATAAAATAAACTAAGTGTCCTCTCAGTGGTCAACTAAGTACAAAATGACATGATTTTTTCGTATCTTTATTCACAAGTGTACTGATTCAGAACTTCTTCCTAAATCTGTTGCAGATTTTTGAAAGGATAAAGTTAATGCTAAACTTGAAGATCTCACTTGGACACATTCTATGCCACTCTGACTTCATACTGATTTCTACATACCTGGAGTACATTTTTATCAGTAAATTAAACAGTTCCAGGAAACGTTCACGGGCACTGGAATTCTACTGTCTATACAGCTGAACTGGAACACAGTCTATGCCACATATTTTTTCCTGTGATAACTAGCACTAGCTGAATCTAGACTGGAAATGGCCACCTGCAAAGCACAATTTCAAAAAACAGTTTGGATGTTACCATACTTTTTAGAGTGCAGAAGAGCTGAAAAGTATGGACACAGGACTTCTGTGCCAGCTGTGCCACTTACACATCAGAGAATGGTCTGGGCACATTAATTTACTACAATTGACACAGCTTCTGGGTATCTCTAGGGGACTGGTGCAAACAGATGTGATCTCTTTCAGCAACAATGTGAAGTCAATCAGACACAAGGCACCTGCAGCTGAGAAGCATGAGTCTCTGCCTGAGTTTGTGCCCTCTGCATTCCTGTTTTTCTCCTTCAATAGTAATACCAAAGCTCCCTGGGGTCTTTAAGCATGTGACAGCATTTTTCAAAGGAATACAACCTAAACATTATTTTAAGGACATTGAATTTGACGTAACTCAGCAACACTGGATAACTTCAACAGACTATAGCTGACCTCATTCAAATACAGCAACTATTTTGGACATGGTGCACAATTATTGTGTACTAAAGGATAAGAGTGTAAATAATTATGGATTTAGGAACAATGTATTTCTGTATTATGGGAACTCGTTAGCTGGTGTCCAGTTTTGTGTCTACCAAGGGACACCTGAAGACTACAGGATGTCTCAGAACTAAGTTAGGTGAAAGCAACCTTCTGTAGTCCTTAATATGGGACTGGAGAGCATGAAGATTTTTCATCAGGTGACTGAATTATTCAAAGTCAAGCCGAAACCTTTTGATCCCTTAAGATACAAATTATGTGTTCCTGTGCGAAAATGAATTTCAGTAAAACAAACCAAAGCTAATTCACTAGATAAGCATCATAAAATAGCCGTAGAGAGTTCTCCTTACTATGAAATGAGTCAACATACAAACCTAATGAAAGTTTTCACTTTGGCACCTTGAGAAAAGGCTTAGAAGGAAAAAACCTCTTGTTTAGCTAGGCATATATTAAAATATGTTATTGATAATAACTTCATATTTTTTCAGGATTCAGCAAAATAGTTCTAAAATCTGTGCTTTCTAACGGTTTCTGATAATGTGTTTCAAAAGGTAAATATAACTGGCAATAATGAACTACTTAAAATGTGGTAACACATGCTTACGGTACTCTCGTGTCCTTCCAGGCTCTTTATCACCAGTTGCTATGATTTTGTTAATTTTTCTGATTAACTGTTTTCATAACTGAAGTATTTCTCTTGTTTTATTCTATTTTTTTAAAATTTTATTAAATAGATTACATCATGACAATTTGGAGAAAATTCAGTGGAGTGGTGGGTATTGTTCACATTCCTACCAAGAATTTGGGCAGTATGTTTTGTTTTCTAGTTGCTGATTTTTCACATCTACATTACCTTTGCCGGTACTGTAAGTTCGACATTATTATACTCCTACTTCAGCATGCTCCTATGATATGGTATCTAAGCAATTCTGTCAAACTGAAGTATGCATGCAGTATGCCAGGACTTTGCATACAGTAGTTGTTAGGATTTATAGAAATCTTATCTAAGCTTGCAGTACGGATTACATATGGATTTCTGCAAAAATCAAACACTACTATGTCAAATACTCTAGTGTTAAGCTAAAAGTGCTCTCACCTTCCTCAAAAAGATCTGTATTGTCTTTCTGGCTTTGCAGGTAGAAGTGTAACTGATATACACATGCACAATGATGTAGCAGTCCTCTAGAAAGCTGTATTTCTGAGTCATGTCATATTACATTTCTGATTAAATAGGACCAAACTGTTACAGAATTTCAGTTCAGATGTAGTCATTACACATCAAGAAGGACAAATTCAATAGGCGATTAAGACAAAAGACTTCAGAGCTTTTGAAAATACCACCAGATCTTGTTTATGAAATTAAAATGACTTACCAAAATCTTGAGCTTGAGGTTTGTTTGTTTGTTTGCTTTATATTTTGCCATATCTTTCTTAATGGACAAGAATACCAACAAGCTATAAGCCATATAAGAAGATGGTAAGAACCTGGGAGACGGTTTATATTTACCATCATCGATGACAGCCTGCCACTGGTGCACGTGCTTCTGATAAGAAGATCTGACACTGAAAGCCTGGCACTGCCAGTCCCTGAAGGCAGGCACGCCAATAGGACAAGCAGGATTTTCACATACTCTGTACTGCATAGCGGGACCATGACACTCTCCTTCAAGGCCTGAACTAGAGAAGATGGCATAAATATCACACTTTATTGCTGTTAATGTTTTGTCAAACTTACAGCACAGATTATTTACGCTATACACAAATGCAATTTAAATAGCAATTTTTTGTTGACACATAACATGAAGAAATCACCCCAAAAAAATCAAAGTCACGGAATAAACCATGTTTGCCTTCTGTTTGTACAGGTTACATTACATATAAAGAGTCATGGGTGCTAAACCATAATTGCACTTGGCACCAAAGAAGCATTAGGTCTAGTAGTAGCATTGAGTAAGGAGAACCTCAGCTGCGGTTTTGATATAGTACAGGTGATTTTCCTCTCGTTGGTCTGAGCCAAAGGTGCCACTGAAAGGAAGTAACACCTGCAGATTTGTTTCTGTTTGGTCACTCCAGTTGTGCTTGCATGTCCTAATGAACGAATGCAAAAGAACAGCGAACTGCAGAAACTGGAGCTAATTATCTAGAACTTTGTCCGGAAAAACGGATTAATGAAAGTGAAATTAAGACAGCCCTAAATTCTAGAATTAGCTTTTAGGCATACAGCTGGAAGTTGTGTTTAGATGGCAGGAAATATGAAAGCGTTCTGCATATCTAAGGCTTCTGTTAAACTACTATGCTTTTGTATAGCCATATACAAGTTCTACTCACATTTCTTCATCCAAACTTCTCTTTTTTAATCCATTTGTCTTTCCTGTCATCACTTTTTGCCCCAGATCTGTTATATTTTCCTTCCTCTTTCTTCATTTCCCCCTTTTGTTCTATTATTTTCCTAAATTATCTACTCTGCTCTGCCTTGCCCTACCCTACCCTACTACACCTACTCTACTCTGCTCTAGTCTAGTCTAGTCTACTCTAGTCTTCTCTACACTTCTCTTCATTACTCAGGTCTACTCTCTTCCCACTTCTCTGCCTATTTGTTCTTTTTCTCTTGGTGTATAAATGACCCACGAAAGAGAGATATGGTGCTCAGTAACTAAAAGTAAAGCTTCTTTTAGCTGACCACTGTGATACAGTGAAACAGATTCCATTCAAGTCAGTAGTAAAACTCCCTTATCCCCAATGGCACAAGGTTTTCATTTTCACAAGATACAGAATCTAAATGTTGTTTCCAGATATTCTACCTAAATATTTGTTAAACTGGCAGAAAGATCTCTTTGTAAAAGTTGCAATTCCTTGGCTCTCCAAATGAGCCAGAAGTCAATTTTCTCCAGCAAAAAGTTGAAAGACTAGAATTACACATTAATGCACTGTAAGTCAAAAATGACAAATTTAATTTTCTGTTGCTTCTTCATATGAAGTGTAAAAAGAAAGTTGTATTCTCCCATTAATATCATCCAAGCTTTTGACAGAAGCAGAAGAGAGGAAAAACAGTGTTACTATGCCATAAAAAATATGAAATATCTATTCTCCTAAGTGTTTTTCAGTATTCATAAAAAATTAACTGCTTATGTATAGGACAACTATATCTTAATGGGTTTCTATACTCATAAGATTTAAATTCTGTTTGGAAATGCTGATGAGCAGCAATGGAAATCTGAATTTGTTTTTACCTGGGGCATCTGCGTTGTCGACTGCTGATTCCAGTGTTGCAAGTACGGCTACAAGTGCTCCATGTGCTCCACTCCCCCTCCATATGCTCCGCAAAAGAGGTCCGATTGATACACTCTCCAGCCTTACACCACTAGGTGAAAATTCAGCTCTTAGGTAAATAAATCAAGGGATATGCAAAAAAATTCACTGCTCCACAAACACATGGGAAACACACATGAACATTTTGTTCAATACATAGTTTTCATGTGAGTCAGATACATTTTTTCTGTTGGTCCCCAAAGCTTTTTTTTCTATTCTAGTAAATACAACAGCCAGACACCTTTCTCTGGCTCAGTGGCCGAGGAGCAGGTGCAACACTTGTCCACAAGCTCGAGCACAAGTTCATTCCCAATAAAACATACCTCCCGGAATAGCCTGCTGGACGTGGTCCCCAGACCAGGCTGTCCCCTTCATTTGAGCCTGGGCACTGCCCTAGGAAAGTGCTTTTTCGGTCCAGCCCAAACCCACTGCAGGCATCATCCTCCAGCTGAACTGTATGGATGATCACAGCACATGGTTCAGGGCTGTTCTCAGGACTTACCTGGTTCACTATTACAGCTCCTACATAACTAGCAGGAAATGCATTGCCACTGATTATCCAGTGACCATTTCAGTAGAAGGATACATTATGAGTAATACACAAAATGACATTTTATTCACAGCTTGAATTCAAAGAGTGAATGGAAGCCTCAATAAGCTAATGCTGAGAAAGTCAAGAGAATTTCTGGTGTTTGTTTAAATAATAATAATCACTTCAATAGTCTTGTATGCATATATCATTTCTCAGGAAAACTGCAATTTCTCACTCAAACACTATCCACTCACTACTGTTATGTTACGTAATCTATGTCCATATCCGGTATAAATCATCCTAATTCTGCAGAAACTAGTACTTTATTAACTTGTATCAGCTGAATATCTGTCCCATGTATTCTGAAATTGCAAAGCAATAAGGCTACAAGTAAAAAATTAACACCTACAGTAATTAACATCAGCAATTTAACCTATTTCTCATTGCACTCTGAATTATTGGTGAATTACTGTTGTCAATGGATAAAGTTCATGAAGAATTCTCATATTTTGGGCAAAACAAAACATCTCACTAATGAAGTCAATAAAAGTCTTTGTCACTTTTAGAATACACTTCCCTTACTTGTAGTGTCTGTGCTAAATCTTTCTATGGTGACCTTCAACTTCACCTGCAGTTTCAAATTGGTCTTCACTGACCAACTGACCTTCATTTTCTCTCCTAAATCATGGCATTACAGTGATGACATAACTATACCACCTTTGAAAAGTCTTCACATAGGATGGCTCCATCATTATATTGGATTTGCAATCAGAAACTACAAAGTTTACAATGCTCTGGATGTTTCAGACCAAAAATGCTCTTATTTATTTGAAGATATTCCTTCAGATATAATAGGGAAAATGGATTTTTCTCTAGAGAGAGCATCTGCCGTATGTACAGTCTGAGGGATGCTTATAAATCCTTGAATTAAAAGCAACAAAGTTGTACAGGCTATGCAAATGACATTTCCATCACTTCATAAGATCCTAAGAAGAGCACAAGACAACAATACTACTTCTCTACAGTATAAGTAAACCAAAACAAAGCCAGTGATCTGTGTAATCTGAAGCTTATCTTGGACAGAGAATAAAGTAAACAGAGAATAATCTTTTCTAATCCTCTGAGATGTTTCAGTGATGTCTGCTTAGTTTTTTACTGCTAGACATAAATAGGGTATCTCTGTAGCCTGGCACAGGTCTCAGTGAGCTGTTCTAATCAGAATCAGTACCTCATCTCACTGTTACTAATTATTTACTCCCTGCTAGCTAGGGTCTACAATAAAAAGAACAGTGTTATCTTCATCATTGGACTTTCCCAGGACCCATATGATGGTGACACCCTGTCACTACCATATCATAATGGTCCCACAAGTATAAAGTTAGAATGAGTCCTCTGCAATGAGCTGCTGTTATCACCATCTGCAAATCAGATGTTAATAGGCAAAATGTACACTAATTTCGTGTGACTAGCTCACGATGGCGATGGTTTCACAAAGAAAAATTCTGGGTAGTCTTAATAAGAGGTTCTGCTTTCTTATTCCATACCATGGGCACGCCAGTCTCAACGCAAAGAACGCGACATTGAACAAAAGGCATGTCCCTGACTTTCCAGGACATAAATTAAGACAGAATATCAGTACATACATTTATAAGAATCAAAAGATCATAGTAAATGTCATTATTTTAGAGATATGAAAATGAATAAAGCGTATTTTTCCTTTAGCATCTAAAATGACATAAGCTGAACACTTTATCTTACTCAGTTGATTGATTTGTTTACTTTTTTAGCAGGATGACGATAGTGCTGGTGAACGTAATATGATTCCAAGACTAAATCACTCCTGTGGGAGACTGCTGTCAGCACAGTATCATGAAAATCCCAAGATACATGCACGCTTCTGCTGTTATCTGTCTGAGGCTATTCATCTTCATTTACAGTTATATACAGAGATGACAGATATTATTCAAACAGAAAAGCTCTTGAAGGACATTCAATATAAGTCTGACTTCAGGTAACTATTTAATTTGTCTTTCATGGCATACTTTAAATGACATTTATCACTCTTTTACATGCACTGACACTATAAATATTTCTTTACAAAGCTTATCCTGAAAAGTTTTATCACAAATCTGTATCAATTCCTTTGATGAGACCATTTCTATATCTTAAATCATAGCTGAGAACTTTGTATCTTTGAAAGCTTATGTTTCTGCTTACAGTAAGCAGTGCAATAATTGCATTCTATGCATAAATAGGATACAACATCAGAACGAAATTGAAATAAAACAGTGCAAGTATTAAAACATCTGTGGCTTTGGCTAACTTTTTTTTTAAATTCAGTGTTTTTACAGAAATGTACTTTTTATCATGTTGATTCTACACAATATATAACATACAATACATTCAACTATATATGTATGATTTTTACAATAATTGAGATAAGCAGGAACTTCAAACAAGTGCAAAGAGCTATTCAGCTTGTTTTCTTAACTGTTAGGTGTTCAATATAATTTATATTGCTTTTCCAGCAGAAACATACCTTTCCAGTTTCACAGTCTGTTCCATCCATTGGTGGATCCAGTTTAGTTTTGCATTCCTTCTCACTTTCCACCTTACACCACAACCCAGTGCAAATGACATGCTAAAAACCAAACACACATGTAAGGAGAAAATCTATCCTATGCAAAACTACATGCTGCATGCACGTCACTAATGTTGTCATAAAGTTACCAGTTTGATGGTATGGAAGTATGTTTAAAGACAGGCTAAACATGCACAAAAACCAAAGTGGGCGGATTCTGCTTAAACTGTTACTAATCACCAACACATGGAACAAGTCAAGCTGATGTGTTGACAGAGAGGGGGAAGAACCCTCTAAGTCTAACCCTAGGGGTCACAGTCTTTGCATACAGCAGATCTGACAAAGCATACCGGAACAAAATTGCCCCGTGATGTGAAGTGGCCACTGTGCAGATCCACTCCCCCAGAGACTGGAAGAGTTGTGAGTTTTGGGGTTTTTTTTTAATTAATTCATATTTTTACTCCTTTTATTTAGTGCTCATTCATTTTACGTGAAAGGGAGAAATATAGCACTGTCATTAGAAACAAAACCAGGGTTTTAAAATTAGTCCATTTCTATATAGAGGGACTAATGAGTCTTTGTGCAGCTACACAGAACTATGTTCACGGGAGTTCTGTAAAAATATGTTTGTAAGAAACTTTGAGACTTGTCTGGGACTTCCAAATCCCCCTTATTCAAACCATCGCAATGACTGCTGGTATCTTACCCTTTTCCAGTGATTCATAATTGCTCTAGAATTTGTAATTCCTGTCGAAATATTTCATAAAAAGCAATGAAACATGATAGCCACAAAGAAGACACAAAGTAACCTGGCAAATCAGGACGAAATCTTTTTGCTGGGAATACGAAGAGAAGGGAGATGAGAGGCGTACGAGTCAGTAGTAAATTTTAGAGATGGAAAGAAAAGCTGCTTATTCCATCCATCTTAGGCATCAGATTAAAGTATTTTTACCTTCTTCAAAAGAATGTACAGCCTTGAAGTATGCTGGTTCACACTTCCCCAAATTTCTTTGGCAGCTTTCATTATTTTCCTCTAAAAAGTCCTCCTTCTCCCATGGTTTTCAAGCATGACTTCATTCTCCTTGCTGTCTTGTTTCCCCCTTACCGGTAAAGTGGGTGGAAGTGAACAGAGGGCATGTGGGGCTGAGCAGAGGCCTGAATGTTATTGCACGTGTAAGCTTTCCACAGTGGGGAAAGAATGATTGGAAGAGGGGGACAGGTTGCAGGGAGGATAAAAGATAAAGATGAGCTGTTTTCCTGAAACCAGAGTTGCCAGAAGATGTGCTTTTCCTGACTGAAATGATTTGTTACATTGGTAAACCTAGTAAGAGTCTCTGTGCCTTTTACGCTATGCATGAAAAATGTGTGATAAATCTTGTGCCACCTTGAAAAAAGTCTTAAGGCACAGGAAACATAATTCAACAAAAGACTGTGTCTGAACCAAGGAACAGGACAGATCCAGTGGGAATCTTGAATGTAAAAATGTCTGTAACATCAGCTTTCAAAAAAAGTCAAAGATTGTAGAGGTCTAAAGCACTGCACGGAAACAAAGACAGGATGGCAGCCGTCAGACTCACTCCTGATTCATCGCGCAACAGTTTTGTGCTGAAGCTGAACTAACAAGACAACAGTTAGCCCACCCATATCCTAAAATATAGCTACAGAAGTCCCATCCTGTTTCAGGATAATTTTAACAAGCATTTTTCAGATGTCAAACTGTAATTTCTGTTCTTGTTCAAGGGAGAAAGAGAATTCATTCTTCTAAATTTTTTTTAAATATGCACTTTCAGACATAACTTCAGAGTCGAGAACTAAACTTAGCAGGAAAAATTCTGGGCCAATTTTGGGAGACAATGTAGACAAGACAGATTATCAGATGTTCATGACAAAGTGCTTCCATACCAACTATGAAATGTCAGACTATACCGTTGGAACAACTCCACTAAAATATATGCTAATGTATTGTTCCTAATTCAAATAATTTTATTATTTCCCTAAACCTTCATTTGTCAAGGACTACATCTGAGGAAAAGCCATGCAGTTTTTCAAAAAATGAAGTCAAAGTTTCCTTTATGTCATCACATTTTAAAGTATATTATCCTTTTTTTTCCTAAACACTTTGATCTTGTGCTCAATGTCACTTGCATACGACTGACAACAAACCTACAGTTCCTTACAAATCAGGAAACAATTCTTCTAAACTTAGGAAGACATGAAGTCATATTGACAAGGATTTGGCTACCTGAACACACAGATGCACTTGAGCTGTGTAAAGTAAACCAAGTAAATCAAAACAAGATGCTGGACTTGCTAATGTGCTTTGTATACTGTATGTATCTGCATGTTTCTGCAAATAATTGTGTACCCTCTCCTTATGAACTATGAACCTTACTTTCCCAGCTAGAGACACGTTTGAGCTTTAAGTGACCTGTATTCTAAAAACACCCACTTCTCTTCACCAATTTTTAAAACAAGCATTCAATATTACTGTAGCATTTCATCCTAGACCTTGAGAATCCCCAAACTAAAGAAAACAGAGATACAAAATTACTAAAATTGGAGAGTGACTTGTAAGATTTTTTCCTGGGCCTTCCACTTCAGTCAAACCACAGACAGACTCTTTACTTACTCTTCAGATTGTACTTCTGCTGCAGAGTAAGAGATATGGAGATTACTGTTACCATTTAACTTTTGACATCTGGGGACTTCTGCATGTGGCTGGAGAAAAACCATGATGCACAACATGTTTTTTTCATTAGCAACCTGCAATGCTGCAGATCAGGACTGATTTGAAAACTAACAGAAATCTGGAGGCCAGTGTCAATATTACAGACAATCTAAAATCAGAGCACAGACTTCTGAAACAGAAGTTTACTCCTCTGGGGAGAAAGTTTCATTCAGTCAAAATCAGGATAGCTGTAAACATTCAGAGAGGTTTACTAGTTATGTGTCATAAGCACAGTCCAACAGCCATTACAGTTTTTCAGACTAGCCAAGGGAAGTAAAAGTTATAGGAGATTATAAACTCAGACTCCTGATATTAGACTGTTTAGTCTGTAAAATATTTCATTGTGTGTACACTAAAAAACAAAATATTGCCAAGTACACACAACGAAATTTTTTTTTCAAAAAAATTGCATTAATCGTGAGTTTTTAACCGCAAAACCTTCTAAAATACAACATGACAGTCACAATGTAGTACAGAATAGCAGAGGTCATTCCAGCTTTTGGGTTTTTTTTTGAATGAAAAGAGTCAGGCAGGTCTGTGTGCATCACAAGGATGCTTTTCCAATCATATAAGCATCTGGAAAGAAGGTCCAGTTGAGAGGAAAGAACAGAGACAAAAAGAGCATTTCAGAACTGTATTTGTGAAAAGTGAAGCTTGTTTGAAGTGTGGTGGTGCAGACGACAACAGATATTTCACCAAGGCTATAATATTTCCATGACTTTCATTCTTTTCATTGTGATCTTTCCCTGAAATGCCTTAAAAATCACCATGAAATATAACCAGTCTCCCACTTTACTGCAAAGATCACAGCTGTGTTATGACAAGAATTGTTTTAATGGAACTGACTAGATAGCATTCACATCCTGGACTTTAATCTTAAAAGCCAACATTTAATAGTTCAACAATTATATTCAGTTGTCAAGTTCTACAATCACATTTAATCATTAAGAACTACTTCTGGGCCGTGATCTCACTATATGTTATGTGAAACAATGTTAGGGTCTAATTGATACTTGTGTGTGTGACATGACGGGCATAAAAGCAAACTTGGCTCCCTTGCAAGATAAGCATGGTGACACAGCATAAATCTTGTACTCTGAGATCCACTCATGCTCTTCTCAGCCTCTATAAATTTTGCTTAGGGTATGAGAAAAAAAGTCTTTGAAATAAAGATGAAAAGGAAAAAATAAAGTCTGGACACCATTTATGAAAGAGGAGTGGGAGGGGCTCACTCAGGAAAATATGGGAATAGGCCCTCAATGTTCCCTTCAGTCCTTTGCTTTAGCCATTAAATTATAAAGAGAAATTCCTGATAGCAAAGGGAAGTCATTGGCATCTGCAGTGTTTCTCAGAGACTGGCATGTAATGTGACTGTAAATTACCCTAAAGTGCTGCTCACTAATAACATTTGTAGAAAATTACATCTTGGCAGGAATTTATTATTGATTGTACCACTGATATTTGTAGAGTATTTTTAGATCATTAAGAAAACCATTAAGAAAACTATTTTCATCATTACTCAATTGTTTTCTTTGTTGAATAGCTGTTATACATGAAACATACTTGCTTAATGTAAAAGACTGCATGGAAATCTGGTTATCAAATTATCTTCCAGTCACAAAAAATGTAAGACTCTGACATAGTTCATAATTTATCTTTCACATAGTTACACAGAAGTGCATGACTGTTCAGCAAGTAGAATGTATCCAAGAAATCCTGGGCGATAAATTGTTGGATTTAAGTTTAAATGAACCTTCAAGGGGTATGTTTCTCTCTCATTTCCTGGCTTGTGGATGACAACTGTAACCACAGTAAACTGCCAGTTATTGGCAGAGTAGAAGAGAGTATACAGTGATAAAAAGAAAGTGGTTTGGATTTCATGGGAAATCCTGTGGTTGCCAATGTATAATAAAATAATTATTTTAATAAATTAATACTGCAACTAATGAAATACTGTATTCAATTTAGAAAAACCTTCTAAATGTTGACTTCTCTAATGACAGCGACAATAATATGCACAATCAACACAATGAACTTTGAATCACCTTCATAATACGTAAAATGCAACTATTTGGTATGTCAAATTCAACATATTTGTTATTTTCATCTAATGTCCTTGTATTTCAGAGGCAGATGGTAACATTAGCTACTGACTAAGCAGCAGTTCACGTTAAGACAACGGTGGTGTTTTACTGTTTGTGTACAGGAAATCATGAAGGATTTCTTGAAAGTTTACATAGCTGGTTCTAGCGCAATTTAAATTGCAATATCTTTTTTTTTCTTTTCATTCACAGGAGAAACGTATATAAGAGAGGAACAACTTTCTTAACCTTTGGGCTGTGCTCTATCCATTGGTTTGAGTTTTCTCTTCAACACAGAAGTCTTATTTAATTGGGCTAGGATACTGTAAACTTCCCTAACAGAAGAGCTAAATTTAAGACCCATAGCAGGGAACAAAAGAAGAGGATCTGAATATAGTGTCTAAGCTAGCCGTAACTACCTCTTCAGGTCTACAGTCTGAAGATCAAATTTCTTGGATATTTTTGTTGGGGGGAAGTTGGGAGTGTAAATTTTTCTTCCAGACAAAAGAATGCAGAGGAAAGTCAACAAGGTGACTTTATGGATGTTGGCAGTGGAGCTTTGGAGAGCTTTTCTTCTGCCGCAGTGCCCTCACCAGATTTTCTCAATTGAGTCCTTAATGTCTTTTATTCATTTTTATGTAATTTCTAATAGGTCCAGTATTTGTGGTTCAGTATTTGCTTACATGATTTCTGGCTCAGGATTATCAGCTTTGCATAAGATTTTGGTGAAACTGCAGAAGATTCTTCCCCTTGCTCCCTTCTCAGAAACTGTTATCTTTTTCGTACTGTTAAGGCCATAAGGTTGTCAAGCAATGGACTTGGCCATGAAGAAAACTGAAAATCAAATTGCAGTTTGTCAGAAAAAAAGAACAGTTGAAAAGACCACTGGTCTTTTGTCTTGTCTTGCATCATCACTAGGTTCTTTCTTCAAAGCAAGCCTGAATATCTTAGGATTAAGTTACAATGGTAACTTGATACTAATATTTAATAGGAGTTTCCATAAACTAACCATTTTAATATAACGATCCAGTAAATGGGAAAAAAACAAGGATGATAAGTGATCTAGCTGAAATGTGGCCTCTTACATACAAAATGCCAGAACAGGAGAAAAAGCTTGAAGATCATACATCCATGGTAGTGTTTGAGTTGGAAGGTGCCTTAAATATCATCTAGTTCCAACCACCCTGCCATGAGCAGGGACACCTTCCACTAGACCAGGTTGCTCAAAGCCCCATCCAACCCGGCCTTGAACACTTCAAGGGAGGGGGCAGCCAGAGCTTCTCTCAGCAACCTGTTCCAGTGCGTTACCACTCACATACTGAAGAATTTCTTTCTTACATCTAACCTAAATCTACCTTACTTCAGTTTAAAGCCATTAGCCATTGTCCTGTCACTACACATCCTCATAAAAAGCCCCTTTCCAGCTTTCTTCTAGGGCCCCTTCATGTACTGGAAGGCTGCAGTAAGGTCTCTCTGCAGCCTTCTCTTCCCCAGGCTGAACAACCCCCACTTCACTCTCTCAGCCTTTCCTCATAGCATACGTGTTCCATCCCTCTGATCATTTTGCGGCCCTCCTCTGGCCCCGCTCCAACAGGTCCGTGTCTTTCCTGTGCTGAGGGCTCCAGAGCTGGGCATAGGACTCCAGGTGGGGTCGCACCAGAGCCTAGGTATTCTCTGTGCAAATAGTTGACCACTACCAGGGTAGTGTTCACAGAATTTAACTCCCTGTCATTTCTAAAATAATAATGAAAACCAAAGAAATCTTGGAGTTAGGACCCCGAGAGAAGAATATTCACTGTATCTCTGAATGAAACACAACAGGCACAGGACCCCTTGGCGATCTGAATTTAAATGCCTGAATTAAAAATAAACACAAGGGTATAAAAGGAGAGGAAGTGCCCAGAGAAATTAAGAGCATATAAAAGTACTATGCAAGTGCAAGTCTCTAGGTTTGACTATCTCTTTAATTACTTTTGAAATTCTTTTACCTCGTAAAGAAGACCTAGAAGAAATAGTGGGCTAACACTGTACCATTTTCTTGTTCAAAACAGGTTTCTAGAGAATGAGAAACCAAAATCACATATTTTCATCAGAAAACAGTACTAAAAAATAAGAAACAGATTGCAATTCATGAAAAAAGCACTTGGAAGCAATTAAGAACATTTCTAGAATCATGAGTTCTGCTGCTCATCTCAGAGTCAAAATGTTTTCAATAAGACTGTTAAAATAATAACCAGTAACCCACACCTCCTTTTTTTCTTCAGTTATGCCACTGTGAGCATGTGATGGTCATACACGTATTGCAATGTTTTCTTTGAGAATCTTTAGGATAAAGATCACTCAAACTTGCTGAAGAAAAAGTACTGTGTCCAGGATGAAAAGATGAAGAGAACTGAAGAACTACAGGAGTGCAGAATTATGCTTTCATATTAAATACTCCTGACCCTTCTAGGCTATCTGTCCTCTCTGGCTTTGATGAAATTTTATTTCACAATTCCTCCTAGCCCCCATTCTATCAACCCATACTCCATGCTCTTTATACATTTGTAATAACATCAGCCCATCTTGTCTTGGTTACCGTCTCAAGGGCATCCAACATGTTTATTATCTATCCTGCTGATGTTAAAGGGGACAATTTTTCTCTGTTAAAACCATGCTTAAAATGCTTCTTCAATCAGATGTCTACTAGTATTAGGCCATAGAATTACGAAGAGCTCTTTAATTTTGTTAATATGTCTTTTGAGGTTAATATATAGTGACACTGTTTCACGCAATGGCACAAAGCAATATCAGCAAACTCACTTAAGTACTGGGACTCCTATTGCCACGGTACTGCACGGCTCTGCCTGCGCTCACAGGGGACTGTTGGAAGGCAGGGTATATTCAGCCATACAGAGAGGCCAGCTAACATCACTGTTCTCCCTCGGACCTAGCACAGGCACAGCATACTCTACTGAAGGTCAGATATGGTGGCTCAACACCCAAAGCATAATGAGATGGAGCCTATACATGAAATCTGGTCCCAGTGGAATAAACTTGCAAATATTCCATTCGCTACAACGAAGTTACTTTGCACTATGATATTTTCTGTTTCTAAAGTACAAGGAACGTCTCAGTGGTATGCTATGATACAACATGATTCAGGATGTTTGGAGATCCAAAGCAAGCCTTACAAGATAAACAAATGAAAATGTTCATATTAATTCCGGACAGCAAAGTGTAAACTTCTCATTTCAAAGGTGGTATGTTCTCCTTGTGTCAAACACATGCAGAAAAATACCTCTCCCAGAAAAATGAGCTGATAGGTGTATATTCAGAAGTATATACCCATCCTTACCTGCATTTCTTGGCAAAAGGAAGCAGTTGGTCCGAAAAGAATCTGACACTGTTCATCTGCAGTGTATGTCATTCCTGGGAGCTTGGAGGGAATAATCACAGAATTGAGGCTCTGAGGATTGGTCTGTAGCAGACAGTTACTGGCCTTTGACCTGGCAATATGCAGAGATTCATATGCTGAGCAATCCTAAAGAGTCTGATTGTCATGTTGACTTAAGCATGCATTTGACATTAGAAAAATGTGGACTCCAGATTTTTTTATTCGTCAGCACTGGGCTGTCATTCAGAGAAATTACTCTGTATAAATTAATATAGCTTATCTGACATAAGTTAATGGTGTGTTCTGATGTTGCACATTTGCAGAAAGACAATATAATTTGTCAGCTATAAGAGGAATTTCAGGAACACACTGGATAACATATTAGTGTAAAATTTACTTAACTGATTAAGGTTTGGATAGAGACTGAAACCATTATAAAAAAGTAGACAATTTATAATGCATAGGCAGTTGTGTAGCTTAGTTTTCACATCTAGCAGGATGTCAGATTAATCACTTCAGATTATATATATATACACACACACATTTAAAAACACACACACTTCTGAGCTGGTAGCCAGAAATTTAACTTCTCTCAAAAACTGAAGAAAAAATACTTGAAAATACTTAAACCTGTTAAAGTACCAAGTCATGGTTTTGATTTCTGTCTAGATTCAGTACAAATGTGTCAGACTGACACATCTAACTTATACTAACTATTCCAGTGTCAATGAAACAGACCTTTTGAGGACTGCTTAACTGTTGCTAGTAAATTCTCAACAGATGTATTTATAAACTTAATAAAGGAAAACAGCTTTAGGGAACAGGTCCTATTTAAGAGATACACAGTGAAGCTAAATGTTTCAATCTGGTTTTAGGTATACTATTCTCTATTACATATCTCATAGCAAATTTCTATTGAAAAGTTTAATATAATGTAATTATACTGCACGGTTTGGCACAACATAGATCAGAGAATCTACATAATGTTAATAGGTCATTCACTGTCCAACATTATTCAATACATAGCATATTAATATATTTTAAACATACTCACATATATAAAATCTTTATATCAATATTTATAATTATATACATTAACACATAAAAAAGTGAAAATACAAATAATTGCTGAATAGTTAATTTTAATGTCTCTCAAATATTATATAGTTTGTGATGATTTAAATTCTTTTGGTGGATTATGCAAACATAAATCTCCCACAGAAGTAGTAAAAAATACTGAAAACTTGTTATTTCAAGATACTTATTGCAACTATTTGTAAATGACATGTGGTAAGAGTTCTTTTCTTGAATGATATACCTGAGAAATCTTTCCAGATCTTCCCTGCTGCACCGAGACCATGAAACATCTCCAAGGTTCTGTCCTTTAATCCACTCTCCAGACATGATATGGAGACCATCTGCACAGGATGGGTGGTCATTGTCGTGGTTTATCCCCATGCTGAATTTTGAAGTTATTAAAAATAAACCAAAGTATAACAAAATAACAAATTGTTTTTAGAATGTTTGTAAGTTAAAACTCTTCCAAGAGGCTACAAAAAACTCATGTATACTACATGTAGGAAATCTCTTGATTTTTCTCCATGACACTTTTCACAGAAGTACAAGGAACCATGTGTGGAGGGACAATCCTATACTGAAAGGTGCGAGTGAAGCTTCATTCATTTGACGAGAAATATGACATTCTATTCAGCTGTTCAATATATACATTGGACAACTTTCTGAATGTTCAGAACTGCACAACTACTGCAAGTTTAATGAACCGTACTTCTCTCGCTAATGGGCAACAAAAATACTGGAAATTTACTTTCTGAGATCAGTGAATTGTTTGACATTTTGGCAGTGATGCAATTTTAATTCCATGTGGAACTGCTTTGTTGAGATTTTACAGAATAGTACAGTGCTTACTAGTTTAACATACAATTATTGTATCTAAATAAAAATGTATTTTCAGTGTCTACTGTTAGAAATAACATTGATGAAGCAGTTAAAATGATTTTGATTTTAAAGACTCGGCATCCATATGCATCCCAGTGAGTTCTCACACAGGGCACTGCAATGAAAAATTCTACCAAAAATCTGCTCGAAGCTGCTACTTTATCTGCAGTGAGGACTCACTGTCACTCTCATTCACAACCAGTAAACAGAGAGGAAGAGGATCGACTTAAATAAAGTTTTCAGTATTAGCTAAGTGAATACATGCTTGACTGGCATTAAGAGAAATATATGAAATTATCTCAGCCATTTTTCAATATTTGTAAATGAGCATGGGACTACTCTCAAGAGCATTGGATTCAAAGGGGTGCTGGAATTTTGCAGCCCTAGTCTGCCCTGCAGAAAATCAAAACTTTAGAGTGACTAAGGCTTTATAACTTGTACTGATTCTTTCAGCCAAAGAGCAGTCAAATTGCTTAGAGACTGTAAAGATGGTAGAAGTTTCCCGCTTCTGTAGAAAAAATACAGTACATCGTGGTTCTCCATATTTCACCACACTGCAGTGCCGAAGGGCAAAAACAGCCTGCTACCCATAACTGAAAACATCAGCTCACTTCCCTTCTCCACTCTATCCTAAAAACCCTTCATGACCAGATCAAATATTTTATCGTTTTGCAAGCTGCACTACCTTGTATTTACTAATTAAATGAATTTAAATGCCGTGTAGGGCTTTATCTTGCCTATCGGAGTGCTCAGTCTCTTACAGTGATGTGTACACCCCAAAATCTGGAGCACTGGAACAGCTGCCTCTGCATGAATCCAGTAATTTTGTTAGTTACAAACAGTGTAACTGAGGTAAACAAATCTGCTTACTCTCATCTTAGCTTCTGTCTTTCCCTGAACTGCCTGAACGGGACAAAACAACTACACAAAAGTGCCTTTGCACCTTCCTTACATTCTCCTTACATGCCTCACACGCAGAATGTGAGATATCCTTACCTCCAGAGTTCTATCCATAAGAACTATGGAAGAATACACAGAAAATCCAATGACGCTTTACTTTGCTGACCACACAGGAAACAGATTTTGCTTACAGATCTTCAAATTATATACTTCCTTACTGCAAAAGTACTCACTTATTAGTATCATATAGATAGTATCATTTGAAATACAGCATTTACAACATCCAAGTATGCAAAATCTTGTTGATAAAATCTATTGTAGAATTGATGGCTCCCATTTATGCAGAGTGGGAATTAATGGTTTCATATGCTATTTAAAACATTTTTTTAAATTAAAAAAAAATAAATTCTGATTACTTTGCTTTCCCATCCACTCTTAAGAGCAATTCTTGAAATCAGACTTTGTCACAAAGTAGTCTTTAATATCACGCAGAACAATGTGTGCTGGGCTGAACAAAGTTCTTCACTGTTTCAAGAAACAATTCCACTGCCCACCATTACAGACAAACATCAGTGTAACCATTTTTCCCATCTACTACCACAGGAGCATTCTGTAAAGTCTATAACTACATGAATTCCAAGGACAATATTGTCTTTTAACGTAAGAAATGTTAAAACCTGTGGTATTTGTAACAACTGTGTATATCAGCAATATTAAGCACTAATAAAAAAATCTAATTCCAACCATCTTCCAATACTTCAGCTGCTATGCTGTTGTAACACTTCTCCTATTCTGCTTTCACATTCAAATGTAGTTCAAAGTGTCTGCATTAATCCAACAGGATTCATTCCTCAATATGCTTCCATCTCCAAACTAAGTACATGTAACAAAATATCCAGCAAGTAGTGAAAACCAGTATCAAAGCCTTTGACTATTAGAATCAATAGCTTCTTCAAAAGAGAAGTATAGATCATTATGTTAACATTAACTAATTAAAGCCCAAGACAATATGTGAGAAGCATGCTAAAACAGCAACAGAACCTGCTCTTAAACTTTTCCAGAAATCTTTTCCTGAATACGCACTGTTGATATCTTCTACAGCATAGTAATAACTGCATACTTTTATCTGACATAGTATCAATTACAAGACCACATAAAAGTCGATATGAAGTTGTACTGGCTTCTGATTTCATTCACCACATCACATTATGTGTGTGGATTTGCTTCTTCATTAACAATCAAGCATATAACAACATTCGATGCTCACACTGGTGGTCATGATACTTCCCAGCCTTCCTTGCTGTACAGTCTGCATGAAAGAGAAAACTACGTCCTTTCACTAAAACAAAAGCACTGCAGAAACTGTGTCTGTGTAAGGTGCTCTTCTGTACTCTTCCTATAGAATTTATTATGCTAGCATTGGGCACACTGCCCTCTGTGCATAGTCTCCTCTCTCCCACAGCTGTGATCATTCAACCTCATGCAAGAGTAAAGCAACACCACGTGCATGTGGGAGGAAGACAAGGGAGTTTGGGTAAGAGGAAAACTTTATAACAGTCTGAAAAAATATAATTAACAAAGACAGTGCTGTACTTTAACAAGCAGTAAATCATACCTATATGGAAATAAATCAAATTCTGTTGTAAGAAGAGAAGAGCTCTTTTTATTCACTGGTACATAAAAATGCTCCATGCATTCTGGTTAAAGACTATATACGGCAGATAGAAATGAAAGTAGGAAGCATCCTATGGAATAGTTTCCTAACTGAAATATTAGCAATATTTCAACTCACACTATGCAACTAAACTGTATTTTGATAATCTCAGTTTAAAAGTATTTTGACAAAGAGCCTTGGTCAAATAAACTCCTCTAACATTATATATCGTTGTCAAGTCAACTGAAAAAATATTTTTATCTAATAAAACCCCTAGAACTTGTTCAAAAAACACTGCCAGATTTTTTTTTTTGCGCTATCACAGAGAAAGTTGGAAGAATCTCTGCTAAATTTTGAAGATGATCCCTGTTGATGTTTAATGTGCAGTAGGACTAGTGCAAAGAGAAATGCTTAATTTCTCTGTGCTTAGAAGTCAGAATTAACAACTCAGGCCACCAAAAACAGGAGACAAATATTAGTTCTATTTTTTCAGTTAAAAAATAATTCCTTTATAACTTATTACTGCTGTAATTATATGAGCACAGCTGGATTCGAAATAGACAACAGCATCTCTCCTACCATCAAGGGAATAGCTGATAGTCTTGCAGGCACAAAATGCAGTCCAGTGTCAACCCACATACTGAAAAAGTACCAAGTACCACACTTTGATTTAATTTGATTATAGCTGAGTATTAAGAAATGACAGCTCTTTTAACTCTCAACAAAGGGTCCTCAGTCATTATGCTATATGGAAATAAGTCAAATAAGGCTACGGACAAATCTTCTGGAAAGAATTAGGTCTCCATTGTAAAGCGCCCTTTTATATTTCTTCTCACCATAGGACTCCAAAATTCTCCTACATGTGCTACATTCATGGCATCACTAATTTGCTCAGTGACCCCACACTCTTCCAGGTGGAAAGCTTTTTATTATTTATTCATTATTTCCATTGTGCTTTGCAAATGGCAGATGATGACACATTTATCACCATCACATTCCATTTAAATGCATGGTAGTGCAGCTGAACAAGAATGATGCTATTAAACTAGACACAGGCAATGCAGGCACAAAGACTAAGTAGTATGAAAAACTTCATATAGGAGCAATTAATTGAGAGAGTTCAGACAGATGTGGAGAATTACTTTAGGTCTATCTGTAGACAAAAAAAAAGCTGAAATTATAAAGATTAAAGAGAACTACTACTGTTCAGAGTTTTACAGTGACTAACAGGAGACAGGTTAGGAAATAAGAGATGGATTAGGAAAACCGCAAGAGACAGTACCCAAGCAACTAGGGGTAGGTTGCTGAATATTCAGGGTAACAGATAAGATTCCCAAACCCTAAAAGATAACAGTTCAGCCCAAGAGACATAAGCAGCAGCGGAATGATGAGTGTAAACTGCAAATCCACGATAATAGTACTAGTTTAATCTCATGACAGAACGAAAATTACTGAAAAAAATTTCCCTTTGTGAAGGAGATAGTAAATCTGAGTGTTGCTTTCAGTTTATACTTGTAATGTGTGATGGGAACAGGGTGCCCTTTGCTTTCTTTCAAAATTCGTATTTTTGTAAATGATTGCTACATAACATTTGTAAATTTACTGCAGTTATGATCCTACAGATTTCTTTCCATTCCAGCAAATACATCACAAACATATAATGGATTGTATGGCTTCAAAAAATAAAAATAAGAATTGTTTAAATACCATTATTAGTTACAAAGTGTTATCCTATTATTTCCACTGTTTTCTTTTTTGATACCGTTACATGCAATACTATGTTAGAATGATTAAAACTTCTTAAACTATGGACTTGGAAATGACAAGGTTTAAAAGCTTACATGGCATTTAACAATACAATGATTATCCCAACAATTTGTCTAATCTGAAATTTTGCCTATCACAGTATCAGAAGGATGTATTTGATAAGTGAAAATAACACCACTCAT